TCTGTATATATATATATGCCCTATATAATAGCCTATATATCATGTGTGACCTGAATAGTAAACACAATATCCATCAGTCAGCAGTTTACAAGTGTAAGTGCTGCTCTTAGAACTGTATTTTTTTTCTCTTGCCCTTTTTAACATATAGGCCGTCAAGAACATTTCTCCAGCGAACCCTGTCCTGTGCATCCTTTTCTAGCTGTTTCCATGATGTCCCTGCCTTTTCCATTTCGCTTGTACCGTTCGCCTCCATGTCATCTTTGGTCTTCCTTTCTTACGTTTTCCTTGTGGATTCCACGGCAAAGCCTGTCTGATTATGCTTGTTGGGGGTCTCCTCAGGGTGGGTCCAATCCATTTCCATTTCTTCATCTGTATGTCTTCCTTTACTGGCCTTTGGGTTGTTCTTTCCCTCAGTTGAGCATTTGTGACTTGATCGTACCACTTGATCTGCTGCCATGAGAGTAGGGTATTTTTTATATGTTGTTATGTTTCTAGACAATTAAAATTCTTTTTCAGAATAACAATCGTGGAGGATACAATGTTGGTGATGCGACAGAATCTCCCTTTGGTACTGATGAGGGGAAGCAATACAGAATGGTAAGTAGATGTGTTTATATTAAATATTTGTGTGTTTGCAACAAAGTTGTCACCATTGGAAAAGCTCAATTTAGAGAACATAGAACAAATATTTGGAATCTGCATTCAATTAGTCAACACAATTTAAAAATTGCTTAGCCTAGTGCTTTTTTGTTATGGTCAGTTGTAAACAACATTTAACCATGATAAATTAAATAAAATAACATCTTGTGCCTTGGTTAGTCAGAAAAAGCTACCTGTCTGATTCTGTTTATCATTCTGTGTGTCAGACATAAAAATTACTCTTTACATCGTAATGCTTGTCAACCTCTTCTTTGTTAGCCAGCGCCCCCTTGTGCCATCTTATAGCAGATTAAAATTTTTGTAGCGCCCACCTTCATATGTTTGTAAATAGGGCATTAAATGATACCTATCACTATGTGGGTGATCCCTGCTGTCAACCAAAATAACCAAATTGTCCACTGAAAGAGGACAGTATCACCCAGGTATTTTATAACTGTGGATGATGTATCCTTGAAATCTAAGCTCTCTGGCATATTAAGAAAAAACACAATTTGAAACTATTTATAAAATGAGCAAAAAAAAAGCCAATGGCAGCTAAAAATTGGTTCTTTATTATAGCAGTTTGTTTTTGTGTGTTCCTGCAGCACCGTTCTGTACTTGTGCTTGCTCTTGTGTCTTTTGCTCTAAGATTTCTGAGTTATCACACGTCTTTTTTTTTTTGCACTTTGCTTTTCACTGTTTGGTGGGGAGGACACGGGACAAAAAAAGAAGTGAGAACCTTTGAAATTAGAGTGCGGCTGCCTGCTGAGGGCAAGCGACTTTACAGGGTTGTAGGAAAAATGGTCACATACGTAAAAATGAGTTGCACTGCAGGTTGAAAAGCTAGCAGTCTACAACCCCTGAAGTCTAGCAGAGGAGAATCTACTTCTGTTAAAAAAAATAAAAAATAAGAAAGTGAGATTTAGAGGTGAGGGATAGAAGGAGATTCTGGTTAACAAAGTCTCACATGTGGGTGGTTGGCGGGTTCTCTCTGGTGTTCAAACATTTGTCGTCCTGATCTTTCTTCCTTCTTTTTTATGTTTGTTACTCTCTTGTAACATCTCTAACATCGGCACTTATATGACCTTATTGTGTTGCAAGTGCCGTAAAACTCTTACTAAAACTAAAAAGTCTCCTATAGACCAAACTTGGAAGATTTAGGCTATGTGTGTCAACAACGGGTTTGCCTCTGCCGGTCGTTATGGGTGTATCCCAGCAGAAGTTTACGTCATTGGTGTCCTATGTGAAGAAAGAGCCTACTATCATACTACATGTATTTGAACTCCGGAGGAAAGTTGGCGCTGTTAGGAGGGAGAGGGGGGGATGGAGAGGGACGGATCGGGAAAGATTGGGATACCTGTAAAGAGGGAGAGAGAGAGAGAGAGAGAGAGAGAGAGAGAGAGAGAGAGAGAGAGAGAGAGACAGAGTGAGACAGAGACAGAGTGAGACAGACAGAATGAGTGAAAGAATGAGACAGATAAAAAGAAAGAGAGAAAAGAATGAGTGGAAGAATGAGACAGATAAAAGGAAAGAGAGAAAAGAGTGAGTGAAAGAACGAGAAAGAGAGACAGACGGAGAGGTGGAAAGGGCTATCAAGAACGAAGTATCTCGGTCACTTCTGAGGCTGAGCCAAAAGATGGGCGTCTTTACCCCAGTGAGATGAGATAATGAGAAGATGACTCTCTTGTCATTGTATCCTGACAACACTGTCTGGCGAATGGCTCGTTTAAGAGGTGGGCGGTTGGAGGCTGTCTCCCCCCCCTCTCTCTTTCTCTCTCTCTCTCTCTCTCTCTCTCTCTCTCTCTCCCTCTCTCTCTCCCCCCCATCTCTCTCTATGTATATTCTCTCTTTCTCTCCCACT